TATGGTCATCTCCCTGTTAAATCGACTATAGTGAGATATGAAACCGAGTCTCAGGCTCGAAGCGACAACGCTCTAACCACTCGGCCAGATCCAACATCATCTAGTTGTTGAATGATTAGCATGCTGGACAGCCAGACTATCTTCAATCATTTTATTTATTTTTTAATGCGTTTATGTTGTATAAAATTTCTAATATAAATTAAATACTATCAAAATAAGCCGGAGAATGCAAAACGCGATTGAAAAAAATTCTCATAAAGAAAAATAGTTAAAGTAACTGAAATACAAAGCGACGAGAAATGTCGAAAAATAGATTTACAATCTCGAACAGCCATTGAAAATTATTGTAAAAAATAAATAAATAAATAAATAAAGAAAAATTGGAAAAAAAAAACTTTGCTACCCATAATGCACCACTGACCGGCATATATAAATAGTCGAGCCAGTTCTTGATTCTATAGACATTTAAAACTGTAGATTTTTTTTTCTTTAGGTAGCTGTCTGTTTCTCTCGTTTATTTCCCCTTTTGTAATTTTTTAATCATTTTTAATAGGCACTGAAACTACACTTACATTTCTAAAGTCTAGGTAGCGAAACGGAAAGCTCATCAGAACAGTTACACTGAAAATATTTATAGAAAAGGCACAGAGAATCTGTGTGACAGCAATGGGAAAATGACTGGAGCCAAGATACCAGGACCGATTGTATTGCAGATTCTTTCTGTTTTATCAAGAATGTTTAAATACATAGCAGAATCTCCACAACAGACCAATTATGACGTTCTAAAGATAAAACGGAAGTGGAAACTAAATCAATATATATATATATATAAGCACGGTGGAGTAATGGTTAGTGGCTTGGATTGAGGAATCGCAGAGCCGAGTTCGAATTCCAGTGGAATCCATTACATTCACTTACGTGCTAATACCCTTGGAATAGGTATGAATCCTCTTCTTCTCCCCCTAGATACTCTGATTCCTCAATCCGAGCCGCTATCCATTACTCCGTCAAGATATAGTGACGAATCGTCTATTGTCCTGTGCAGAGCTCGGCCCGCTCAGCATTGACGTAATTTAGAACCAGTTAGTATTAGATTGCATCAACCATCACCGTGCAGCGAGAGGAAACATTTTGTTCGCTCTCTGGGTCTTCTAGGAGATTTGTGAGTGATTCTTTTTCCATTTTGTACTCACTAGGAAACCTGAACATTGGCTCTTTAACAGTATAATTTTATTTTATTAATAAACGCGTATTTTAGTCGTGGTTCCTTTTTCTCCTCCTTATATTTTTCTTTTCTCGCAGTGCTAATTGTTATTCAGCCAATTTAATATTTGCCAACGTATACTTCTGACGAAGTGTTGCTTGAAATGGATCCTTAAAGATGAATGCTTTCCTGCGTTTTGAAATCTATATATATGTTCTTTGGTCCAAAACTTCTGTCTATATATATATATATATATATATATATATATATATATATATATATATATATATAAATAACAATAGGAAAACTGTAATATTAATCGACGCGTTTCGTCCAATTTTTTCGTTTAACCTTGAAAATCCACATTGGACGAAACGCGTCGGCTAATATTACAGTTTTCCTATTGTCTTTTACATTCATAAATATTGTCTTTTTCTAAAGGTTAACTCTGAGAATTATATATATATATATATATATATATATATATATATATATATATATATATATATATATATATATATGAAATGGGTATATTTCGGCAGCATATTTTCATTAAGAAAGGTTTCGTTAAATAATTTAGATATGTTCCGTCTACTTATTCTCGATAGGATCATTTCATATTCGCGGATAAGCTTTTTTCGTGCGGTTATTAATAGACAAAAGGAAAACACCTTGTTGGCTCAGATTGTATTTATTTCCGAGTACTTTCGACTTAGCATAATGTCATCAGCAGTGTTTTGTTAATTATAAAGTAAGCATTTAGTAATTAGTGTTGTGAAGGATGGAATACACACACACACACACACACACACACACACACACACACACACATATATATATATATATATATATATATATATATATATATAAAAATATCGGAGAATATATTTTTATCATTTTAAAATAAATCAGTTAAAACTAAATCTAACAAATGGACACTAATGGACTGAAGTGTCCATTTGTTAGATTTAGTTTTAATCGATTTATTTTAGAAATGATTAAAGGTATATATATATATATATATATATATATATATATATATATATATATATATATATATATATATATATACTGAGTGTCCATTTGTTAGATTTAGTTTTAACCGATTTATTTTAGAAATGATTAAAGATATCTTACTGGAATTTCCAATATTTTTATAACACTATTAGACTTGAACAATAAGCATGATTAACAGAAGAATCGTGATGAAATCGATCAGAAATGAAAATGACATGTTCATCATTAATTACTTATAGCTAATCGGAAGCTCATGGAAGATTGAAAAGTTCAAATTTGTATATATATATATATATATATATATATATATATATATATATATATATATATATATATATATGTATAATTCCAGGATCATTTTCCAATTTATTTAAGATGATCTTCTCTCTCATTTTCAAGTCCTTTTCTACTGCTCTTTGCGCTTTCATAGTTGAAACCCCACTCTCCGGTGCCAAATGTCTTATATCCATAAGACATTTGAGTTGGATCTTTTCTTATTGATCTCTCTAGCTATAAATTGAAAGGATGTTATCCCGATCCAGTTTTTCCTCTTTACTTTTTCCTCTTTTTATAAAATTATTCACCGTTCTCTTAAAAAGGTTTTTGAATGGACTTTGAAGATGGAAGCCAGAGTATGAATGTCGCTACCATTAATGAAGGGCTGAATAATTTTCCTCTCACCATTGCTCACTTAAATATTTTTGTCGGATGGATAATTTTGTTTTTGTCACGTGTTTTGTTTTATATATATATATATATATATATATATATATATATATATATATATATATATATATATATATATATATATATATATATATATATATATATATATATATATATATTATATCTTCGGTAAATCCAATCGAGTTCTCTCATTCACTGTGTGTTTATCTAAAAATAAATACGCTTAAATTCCCTTTCTTTCCTGCTCTGTAGCAACGGCTTAGGGGTAAAAGCTCCGACTAACACCATTTCAGCCGGGTTTCGATCCTAGCTAGAGGCAACCGGACGTCTTGCCACACTGATGAGCTCTGATACTGGTCTGTCTGTGGATGACTATATATATATATATATATATATGAGGAATCTGTGAAAATAAATATTGTCTTTCATTAAAAAAACAAAATATCAACAAATTTTATCTTGTGAGAAAACTGGGTATACTTACAATCTTACTGTTTCAAATAAGAACTTATTTGTAAGTTATTGAAAATTTGTTCTTGCGTATAAGACGACTTCAATCTTATTTCTTTAATTTCCGTTTAAAATTTCTCACAAGAAAACACATTAAAATACACATAAATATAACACTTTTTCCCAGTCAACGGTTTGTTTCACTTTTAAAAATGGGTGTTTCTTGTTACTACGTTGATCTTTTCTTCTAGCCGCCAATGTGAAGTAAGTAGGGTATTGTATTGTTTTCAATGTGTCTTCAAATTATTTAATTTTATCATCTAGATAGCGGGGTCTTGATATTTAAAATGACCTGGGATCTTTTTCTTATACCGGTTTAGATTTATTGTAGTTGAAATCAAACATATCGTGTTTTGTCTCACTAACGGAGATTTTTAATTCGTTTCCGAAGGCTCTAATGTTTAAATCAATTTGTTTCTGTAGCCTTTCTAGTAAAAAGTAATTACCGTATTTGACGGCATATAATACGCACGGGTGTATAAGACGCTCCTTAATTTCAGCAGGGCAAATCAAGAAAAAATTAGTAATTATGAAAATTAGTAAAATTATTAGTAAATGTTATAGCCTAGGCTATGTTTTTGAGGTATTATTTTGGTTAAACAAGTCATGATTACAATTAAACGAAAAATAATAGGAAAAAAAGAACACGAAGCCAATAAAAACTTTATTATATCCAAATGTAAGAAAACAAAATAAAAATCAAGCAGTTATTATAATTGAGCAAAACAGAACAGTTACCATTAAAATTCAGTCAAAAATTTTCCTTTATATGATCTGTACAACCAGAGTCTTGTAAACGTCTTAGTGGAATAGATATTTATTTGTACGATAGTACAAAATGTGGCACAAGGCCGAAAATCTTCTGTCTTAATTCTAAACTTAGCTAGCCACAAACACTGACCCAAATATACCAACAATAGTTCTAACAGCAAAACAACACATTCTCACCTACCTTTCTTACTACATCCACCATAATACCTCAATGTCTCTGTGAATTCCTAACTAGTCCCCATATGTACATTTCGTTGACTCTGGGGTGAGGGAAATAAAACAACAACGTCTTAGTGGAATAATTAAGATATAAAAATTCTGATTGTATTTATACAAATGCAACTGAAAGTTATCGCAAGAAAAATATTAATGAAACAAATATATTTTACAAATATATAATTTGAATCTATTGCATATAATTTTGGTGAAACAAGGAACTAATATTAAACGTGATGAAATTAATATAATGAATATTATCAATGATGACACTTTTAATCTGCATAATAGCCTTTTAAATAATGATAATAAGTATATGAAAGTTACTCTAAAGTCTAAACTAATAGGAGTTGCCAGGTAGCTAATTTCGACCGACTTTCTAGAATTTTAAACCTACATATGGCATATAAGACCCAGGGGAATTTTAAAAGATATTTTTAGCAAAAAAAAAAAAAAAGTGCGTCTTATTTGCCGTATTTGAATATGGTAATTTCGAAACATCCTAATATGTATCGACATATATGTTGAAACACTTATATTTATATATAGTATTTAGTCTTATTTCTTTCTTAGATGTTTTTTAAGTCCTGTAGGC